CATGACGCCGGAAGACTGATGAGAGAACAATTTTTCAAACTGTTGCTAGACGGTCATGGACTATACAGTGGTGTCAAATTCAAACAGAACTGAATCTCTGTAGACTGCAAAAAATGGATCCCTCTAGTCCACGTATTAACTTAGAAAACCAAAAATTAACATTACCTGTGTTGTATTGTATTTTCATTTTTAAAAATATTCACCAATTACATTTTAATCTGATTTGTATTACATGGGGAGTTTCGCAGGCTGCTTGAGGCCCTGAGTTTGACACCTTTGGACCTGAGTTACAGAATGAGACATATATTCCCACACGCAACCAATGCGTTGACTTGTTTTACTTGACAACGCATATATTTTACAAGGGAGGGTTTCTACTGGGGGAGTGTGGCGGATTAGTGGGTAGTGAAAGAATTAAAGTGAAAAAGAGCATCAGCAAGAGAGGCGGAGCCAAGATGGCAGAGTGAAAGCAGCAACTTACTTGAGCTCTCCCCCAAACCTCTCCAAATACCTATAAAAATGGCTCTAAACAAATTCTAAGGCAGCAGAACTCACAAAAAACCAGAGTGAAACAAATTTCCAGCCCAAGACAGCCTGGATGATTGATCGGAAAGGCATATCGCGCTGGGCTGGGAGTAGAGCACGGTATGGCGTGGGCCCACCGGCCCCAGCAAACCTGGAGCAGGCCTCAGAGGACTGAATCGTGGGCAGCTGTGGCAGTTTCCAGACCCCTCAATCCCCAACTGTCAAAGACAACTTAGAAGGTCAGTGGGAAAAGTCTGTTTCTGCGGTGCTGAGAGAGGAAGGCTGGGTCTCAACTCCAGTTCCCCAAGAACGTGGCCCTGGGGTGGGCAGCTGCTTCCTGAGCTTCTGGCCCACAGACTGAGGAGGAATCGAGTGGCTGATCAGAGGAGGATTGCAGGGATCTCTCTGCTGGTGCTGAGGCAGGAATCTCTTGCTTTGCCCATCCTTGGATCTGGGTCACAGTTATGGGCGGTGGTCCTGGGGTGAGGAGGAGCGCTGGTGAGGTAGAGCTTGTAGTGGCTGTGGACAGGAAACCTTCCTCACAGTTCCAGGACAGAAAGGAGTACTTGTGGTCACTAATACACCACAGCACAGGCCAGGAAATGAGTAAACACCTTGCCCCTTATCATACCACCTTGCAAGAACTGAAAATTTACGGGTCCCTACAAGTATCTCTGAAAACAGCTGTACAAACCCCCTGAAGCTTGGGACAGTACACTTTCCACACTGGAAGCAGGATCTTCCTTAACAAAGAGTTTAAAACTCAAGTAATCGGCCAGGATCATGAGCAAGCAACATAAAAAGAGTCAGACTATATTATCTTACTTCGGTGAAAAAGAAGATCAAAACATACAACCAGCAGACAAGAAAGTCAAAGCTCCTACATCCAGAGCCTCCAAGAAAAATATGAATCAGTCCCAAGCCTTGGAAGAGCTCAAAAGGGATTTTGAGAAGCAAGTAAGAGAAGTAGAGGAAAAACTGGGAAGAGAAATGAGAGATGCAAGAAAACAAAAAACAAGTCAACAGCTTGCTAAAGGAGACCCAAAAAAATACTGAAGAAAATAACACTTTAAAAAATAGCTTAACCCAAAGGCAAAAGAGGTCCAAAAAGCCAAGGGGGAAAAAATTTCCTAAAAAGAAAAATTGGCCAAATGGAAAAGGAAGTCCAAAAGATTACTGAAGAAAATACTTCATTAAAAATTAGAATAGAGCAATTGGAGGCTAGTGACTTTATGAGAAATCAAGACACTGTAAAACAAATCCAAAAGAATGAAAAAATAGAAGACAATGTGAAATATCTCACTGGAAAAACAACTGACCTGGAAAATAGATCCAGAGAGAGAATTTAAAAATTATTGGACTATCTGAAAGCCATGATCAAAAAAAGAGCCTAGACATCATCTTTCTAGAAATTATCAAGGAAAACTGCCCTGATATAGTAGAACCAGAGGGCAAAATAGAAATTGAAAGAATCCACTGATCTCCTCTTGAAAGAGATCTAGGAATATTGTAGCCAAATTCCAGAGCTTCCAGGTCAAGGAGAAAATATTGCAAGCTTCCAGAAAGAAACAATACAAGTATTGTGGAAACACAATCAGGATAACACAAGATTTAGCAGCTTCTACATTAAAGGACGAGGGCTGGAATATAATATTCCAGAGGGCAAAGGAATAGGATTACAACCAAGAATCACCTACCCAGCAAAACTGAGTATAATCCTTCAGGGAAAAAATGGTTTCAGTGAAATAGAGGACTTTCAAACATTCTTGATGAAAAGACCAGAGCTGAATAGAAAATTTGACTTTCAGATACAAGACTCAAGTGGAACATGAAGAGGTAAACAGGAAAGAGAAATCATAAGAGACTTATGAAGGTTGAACTGTTTACATTCCTGCATGGAAAGATGATGTTTACAACTCATGAGACCTTTGTCAGTATTACGGTAGTTGGAGGAAAAAAAATTATGTGTGTGTATAGGTAGATAGACAGACAGACAGACAGATAGATAGATAGATAGATAGATAGATAGATAGACAGACAGACAGACAGACAGACAGACAGACAGACAGATAGATAGATAGATAGATAGATAGATAGATAGATAGAGGGCACAGGGTGAGTTGAAGATTAAGGGGTCATATTCAGAGAATAAAATTAAGGGATGAGAGAGGATTATACTGGGAGAAGAAGAAAGGGAGAGGTAGAATGGGGTAAATTATCTCACAAAAAAAAACAGAAAAGAAGAGTATCTTACAGTGGAGGGGAAATGGGGGAAGGTGAGAGGGAATGAGTGAATCTTATTCTCATAGGATTTGGCTTACGGAGGGAATAACATGCACATTCAGTTGGGTAAGGAGATCTGTCTTACCCTACAGGAAAATAGGGGAGAAGGGGACAAGAGAGCAGGGGGATGATAGAGAGGAGGGCAGATTGGGAAAGGGGGTAATTAGAAGTAAATACTTCTGAAAAGGGACAGGGTCAAAAGAAAGAATAGAATAAATGGGAGGGCAGGATAGGATTAAGGGAAATAGAGTTAGTTTTTCACAACATGTCTGCTATGGAAGTGTTTTGCATACTGCACATGTATAACCTATATTGAGTTGTTTGCCTTTTCAATGAGGGTGCGTGGGGAGGGAGGAAGGGAGAAGATTTGAAACCTAAAGTTTTAAAAACATATGTTTAAAAAAATGTTTTCACATGCAACTGGGAAATAAGAAATACGGGAAATGGGGTACAGAAGTCTATCCTGCCCTACAGGAAAATAGAAGGGGAAGGTGATAAAAGAAAGGGGGAGAGACAGAAGAGAGGGCAGATGAGGGGAAGGGATATTCAGAATGCATGTCATCTTGGGGTGGAGGGAGGGTGAGATGGGGTGAAAATTTAGAACTCAAAATCTTGTGGAAGTAAATATTGAAAACTGAAAATAAATAAATTTATATTAAAAAAAGAAAAGAGCATCAGCAAAACATTTTTTAAATACGTAGGAGAAAAAATGAAGTGACAAAGTTTACAAATAGAGCAAATTTTGTTATTACCTTTTAAAAGTTAATATAGATATGTATTTCTTTGAAAACAAAATACTTTATATAAAAGTTTACGCAATCCTCTTCTCATTTTTTTTCTTGAAATGTCTGTTTATTGATGACTGTTAAATTCACAACGAAAAAGAAAAGGACTCTGCTTTCTTTTTTGAGGATTCTATGAACAATTGTTTTTCTCTAGTCCTCCTAATCTCTAAGCATCCAAAGATCTTGGAGTAGCTCATCAATCACACTTGCCATTTACTTCCGGACTCTTGCATTTAGATCATCTGGGCCTAGAGGCCTGAACTGAGCTAGGCGCTGCCTCCCCATCTCCTCAGTTATCTTGGGTTTCTACACCCTGCCAAATGGTTTTGATGTATCTTTCCCTGTCTGAAGGTCATTTTCCTTGGCTAAGAAAACAGAAGTGAAATGAGGCCTGAGTGGTAGGTTTTTTTTTATTGTTTTTATTGTTGCCTGTTTTCAACATCCCCTCCACAGACCCTCTCTATCCCATTTTTTGTCCTTGTCTTGCTCTCAACAAAGTTTAAAAAGAAAAAAAAAGTTTTGTTATCCTTAGTATTCCTTTCTAGCATTGTCACGCTTAGTGTTGGTAATATAGGCACAATTCTTCTAAGATGCCACTGTTTTGTACTTGTCTCCCATTACTTACCTTTGCTTTCATCTTCTATATCTAACATTGATCAGCTTGAACCCACAAGGGTTGGGATCCCGTGTCTTTCCCTTCATCATCGAGAGCCCCCTCTGCTCTAACCCAGGCATGTGGTCTTTAGTGAGTCTGGTTTCTAATGAGAGGGGTTAGACTCTTTTCTCACATTCTTTGGCTCATTAACCCTCACTTTGGCTCCCTGGAGACAAATTAAAACTTAGGTTTTGGCCCATACCCAGGATTTTCTCCCGAAAAAGGAGAACAAAAAAGTTACTCAGCATACAGTTTTCCCTTTTACATCTTGACTTTCCCTATCACAGTTTCAATATATCATAGGTCGGTGTAAAAAATTACTGTAAATGGGAGTTTTTTGGGAGTTTTGCAGAAGCCACAGGTGACACATGAAGGCCAGCAGGCAACACAGAAAAAGTTTAGAAATTCAGAAATGCGTAAAATGTGCTTATGACCAAATACTTAACCCAAATTTTACAATAAGGTACTGTAAATATCCCATAAAAAAAATTCAGACTTCTCTGGTATGAAGGGAAGGCCAAAAAGTGTTATGGGGGTTCTCCAGATCACAGGGGCATTGTGTCCCTAACCCCCTCGATGCGGAAGGGATAACTGTATAACATAGTAATTTAGTCCTATATGCAAAAGGAATAATAAATTTAGGACATTCACAAGTCAACAAACATTTATTAAGCACCTGCTATGTGCCAAAGCACTGCACTAAGTGTGTATTTGATAAAAAACAAAAAAAAGAAACAACTTAAAGTAGGATTTAGTGATTTAATTTGTAACTGCTGTTACAATTGTTTGAGAAGCTGATACTTAAGCCTCATCCAAACATAAAACAGTTTGTAGGATTGCTAAATAGGAATTTTACATTTCACTTCAACTCTGTACTTTTGAAATCACTCTTAACCCCCATACTTTTGCTGAGGAAATGGTCATATTGGGGACATATTTTTTTGTTGGTAGTCATACTCTTCCAGAGAGCTGGAATAGTTGCTAGAGTATCCTCCTCTGGCATCATTTAGCTCCGACCCAATGAGCCCCAAGACCTCTCAAACTCACAAGGTCACCTGGAAAGCTGAGACATCTTGGGATAGATACTCCACCTACAATAAGGAAAGAAAAAAACCCACAAAAATAAACTCAAGCTCAAATTTTCTTAGCCAGGATATGTATGTGCTTTAGGTGCCATGTGCTCAGAGATATATGGAGCAAGGAATAGAGCAAATAGCCCTTCCCATACTACCTTCTCTGAAAGCAGCTTAAAAACATCTTGACACAATTCAGAATCAGAAAAAGAGGCTGAGAGGCTGAGGCATTGGCTTCTTCCATTTGTATATTCACTGAGTCATCAGCTCTTCAAGCTCTGCAACCAATAAAGGGATTCTTCATTATATCAGAGTGCAAACCCAATCAGATTGAGAAATATGGGATCACCTCCCTGTGGTCTCCTAAAACCAGGAATGAGAATGCTAAGCATGCTCCATATACTCCATATACTCCATATCCTTTACATATATGTGTCTTTCATAAATATGAGGTTGTTGAGAAAGTCCCTGTTCATCTAATACCATCAACTTCTTTAGGAATTCTTTTCTCTTTCCTCCTCATCAGAATAATTTCTGTTTGTGTCATTAGAATTTCATTTTAAGAGCTTTCCATCACTTTTTAATTGACTTCCACTATAAAATATTGTCACTGATCCTACTTCTCCTTTCTCTAAACCCTTTGAAATATGCTTTCAAAAAAAAAATTAAGGCTTATGTCAGATTATGCCCAGCTTTCCTCTCCTCCTCTATCATGAACTCAATAATGATGTGGTCATTTATCCCCAAATTTCCTGTCATTCCTACTTTAACAACCAATTCCTCCTGGTTGGTCAGAATTAGTTCCAGAATAGCAGTCTTCCTTATTGTTTCCCCTTACCTTTTGAAGGATGAAATTATCATTAAGCCAAGTCACAAGTTTATCAGCTGCTCTCCTTTTGGCAGAGAGGGAAAGTGTGTGTCAGCTGATGTTTGTATAGTTGAAATTCCATATCACTACAGTATCATGGCTCTGGACCAGGTATGTGATCTGTTTCCCAAACTCCTCCCCCTCCTGTCCATGTGATCTGTAGTGTATCCCTGCAACAATATAACTTATGCCTTCCTCCACATTGGCTACTCAAATGCTCTCCAGCATGTTTCTGCTGTTGGGACCTGAATTTCATTATATGAATATACATTCTTAATATACAATACTGCTCCACGCACCCCTCTTTGTTATTTTATTCTTTTTAAAAAACACATATCCTTCCTGAGCCCAATTTCAGTCAAGAGATACCATCTCATCTAGTCTTAGTAATACCAAATAAGGTCAAGTTTTCCTCTTGGAATTGGGATTTCTAGTTTTTATATTTGTATGTAAATGACTTATAACCCAGTGTCACCCCTTACAAGTGGCTTTAGTGGATTCAAATTCACTGGTGGGGTGGCCTGACCAATAAAAGAGTAGGAAATGTTCTTTTTCTCTCACTTTCAGACTCATTATGCTCTCATCCTTGAGTTTCAGGGAAAACCTCTATAAGAAAAGGTATAGTTCATGTCTAAAGGATTTCCTGAAAGGGTTGAATAGAATCCATTCTAGAAAAAGTACTCAGTGAACAGTATAGGCAGCTGTTTATTTCCTCCACCAGAAAAAGAATGCTTAAAACACAAAAGACTAAGTACACATTCGCAAATACTGAAAATATTAGACAATAAACTATAATATTTATTTTGCTCTTCTTACAGGTAAAAACTCTGTAGTGCTGCTGAGTAGATATTTTCTTTTCTTTTTTGGGTGAGGCAATCGGGGTTAAGTGACCCACCCAGGATCACACAGCTAGTAAGTGTCAAGTGTCTAGTCTGAGATCAGATTTGAACTCAGGTCCTCCTGATTCCAGAGCCAGTGCTCTATCCACTGAGCCACCTCGCTGCCCCCAGATATTTTTTTTTTAGGGAAAAACCACAAGAAAGAAAAAAAAGAGAGAAAATAGTATGCTTCAGTCTGCATTCAGACTCTCCAGTTCCTTCTCTGGATGTGAATAGCTTTTTCCATCATGAGTCTTTTGGAATTGTCTTAGATCCTTGTATTGATGAGAGGAGTTAAGTCTATCAAAGCTGGTCATCACACAATGTTGCTGTTACAGTGTACAATGTTCTACTGGTTCTGCTCACTTCACTCGGCATCAGTTCATATAAGTCTTTCCAGGTTTTTCTGAAGACCACCTGCTCATCATTTCTCATGGAATAATAGTATTCCATTACATTCATATATTACAACTTGTTTAGCTATCCCCCAATTGCTGGGCATCCCCTCAATTTCCAATTCTTGGCCACCACAAAAAGAGCTGCTATAAACATTTTTATACATGTGGGTCCTTTTCCCATTTTTATGATCTCTTTGGGATACAGACCTAGAAGTGCTATTGCTGGGTCAAAGGGTATGCAGTTTTATAGCCCTTTGGGCATAGTTCCAAATTGTTCTCCAGAATGATTGGATCAGTTCACAACTCCACCAACAGTGCATTAGTGTTCCAATTATCCCATAGCTTCTACAACATTTATCATTTTATTTCTCTCAGACTTTTGTTTGACTACTTGTGCTTAGGGAAAGAACAATATAGCCAAAAAAAAGCATCCAAGAACCTGAAGTCCAATTTCAGGCTCATCTGGGTAAGGACATATTCTAATTACCATGTACTTGTAGCCACCATTATTGTAATTGTAGTGTATCATTGTATTGATCAGAATCTCTCAGTCTTTCGCAGTTGATTATTGTTACAATATCATTGTTACTGTGCACAATGTTCTCCTAGTTCTGTTTACTTTGCATTAGTTCATACAAGTCTTCCTAGGTTTTTCTGAACCCATCCTTCTTGTCATTTCTTATAGCACAGTAATATTCCATCACAATCATATACCACAGCTTGTTCAGCCAGTCCCCAGCTGATGGGCATCCTGTGTGGGATGTCTCATGAAAGTCAAATGATGGCTGGCAGAATAGCATAGTATTGCACTCAAAAAAGAGAGAAGGTAGAACCTTTTATGGTTCTTATTGTCTGTTGAGGGATATGGCTATTCCACAAGAATCTATCCCCTCACATACTCAGTGACCAATCCTTTTTGAAAAACATGTAGACAAAGAAAGAGTTGCTGTGTCATTCTAAGGTACTGTGAATATCTCTCAGCAAAAGTCCAGAGCACATACCCAGCTTTATGGGAAATGCTCTAGCCCCATGATGGGGATGGTAATGGTAGGGAGTCCTTTGATTACCCCAATGTCATAGATATTTGAAGCTTTTTTTCTGAATGCATAAAAATAGTAGGTGCTTAATAAATACTTGTTGAAATGTAAAATCTCTTTTTGGATATTGTCTCCCACGAATGGTCCTCTCTTCTGCTGTGTTTCTCCTTTGCTCACTTGCTACTCTAGATATACTCTAGATAGTACAAAGATTATGATGTTTTATGCATAGTTCTGCCTCCCCTTCTCTTTTCAGCTTGAAATCCTCTTGATTAGATTTTCAAGACTTTAGACAGATGCATATTTTAATAACCCTTGTTAGGCTTCATCTTTTGCCAAGGGTCCATCATTACTATATTTAAAGCCATGTTCAAGAACTCCAATTCCCATTCTCTGACATCATCTTCTTGGCTAGGTGTTCACCTCACAAATCTGCCTCTCTCTTTTAAAGACACCACCTGTAGCCTGGAGTCTACAGTCGTTTGCCTCCAACTTCATAATCCTTAGTAATGCTTTCTAGGTAGTATTATTTGTCTCCAAATTAATCACCATTTGTTAGTAGTGGCAGTCAGGTTTGATTATTGTCAGAAAGAACTACATCATGTCCCAGATGCATGCTCTGGGAAGAGAGCCAACCTTAGCTGTTTATATTACATGGACAAAAGCAGCCTTAGTATGCTTCAGTAGGGAATTGGACCACCACTAACCTCCATGGCTCTTCTCTTCATCTTTTGACCATCACTGGATGATCTCTCATCTGGAAGCGCAAGAAACTACTTCTGTTAGAGATAATTCAGACCCTTTCCCCCTCCAAGATCACCCTTCTACCTATTATAGAGCTACAATTGTTCAAGAAACCTTCCCTTCTTTCTCTGTACCAAATTCTTCTACCCACTAACTTCCTGACAAAGGTGAGAATTCCCTCAGCTTCTTTGTAGCCTTTTTCTTCTTTGCTTTTTCCTTGAAGAACATTTTCAACCTGGAGAGTAGGATTATTTTTTCCTACCTTTTTCCATTTTCCTTTATAAAAGGGATTAACCTTCAATTTGCACCATTGCTAACATATGCCCCTGGCTGAAACACAAATAAATCACATTTTCTGCAGGTCAAAACAAAAATTTCCCTGCCCTCTGCACTTAAATAAAATAAATCCCACAGTCCTTTGTTGTCTTTTTGGTGGTTATCTTGACTAATTCTTATGGATAATTAATAAGGCAAGCTGCCTTTTTATAAGATTTGGCAACTGGTTGAATATGTAGTGTGAGGAAGAGCTAGCAGTCAAAAACCTCAAAATACATATGCAAGACCCATGTACCATGTTTCATCTTGCTACTGATTATTTGCTAATAATTCTCTTTTCTTCTTTATATACTAGGCTCTCTGGCCATGTTTCGGGGATAAGGATAAACTTATATAGCAGATAGAAGGAGATAAAAAGCAAGAATGCAGAACCACAGATGTCTGATGAAATCCAATTGTCTAAATAGATAAAAGAAAAAAAAATCTTTTGTTTTTTCTTGCATTGACTCTCCAGAGCCTTCCCTGTATTTCCCTGGGTGCTAGGTTCTCTGGTTCCATTGTGGAGGGGGTAGGGAAAGCTGGCTCTACTTAGTAGACAGAAAATAGCACAACACAAGAGACAAAATGCCATCCCAGTGTGTAATGAAATCTGCACAGCTCATTGGACCTTGACACTCACTGCTCACAAGATCTTTCCTTCCCTTCCCCTTGTGTTCCTGGAAGCTTGGCTTTTTGAACCACATAGGGCTAATCCATTAGGACCACTGGCTCTGACTTGAACTAAGCAGACTAAACAGATTCCTGTTCCAGTGAGAACTAGTTGTGCTTCCTTTCAAAGTGATTAAAGTAAAGTTCTTGAAGGCTGAATGTTTTCAGAAGACCCGCTAAAGTGACCATAGTTTTAGATTTAATAACTTGGATTTTCTCAAGTCAATGGAACTCAACATTTGCTTGCCTTCAAGTTTGAAGTTCAAATGATTCCTTGTTTCTTATCGGATAAAAACGGAGGGCCTTTATGGCATTTAAAATGATCCATAATCCAACCAAATCCTGTCAATCCTTCTTATCTCCCTCTACGCTACAATACAAATACCTTGCTCCAGGCAGGCCAATCTCTTTATGGTTCCTCAAACATGCCACACACATTATGAACTCAAAGTCACTGCGTACCCTGTTCTCCTATCCTAAAATGCCCCTTTCTCTCCATTCTTCTCATCGAAATCCTTCATGGTCTAGCTTGACTCTCACTTAATCATTGATTCACTCATTCATTTAACAACTATTTATTAATGCCTAACATGTACAGAGTGATGCACTACAAGGGCCTATAAGATCAAAAGGACAAAGTTCCTCCTTTCTTCAGGATGCTCATAATCTGGGAGGACTAGCCATGTTCATAAGGATGGGATCTATGGTTACATTGATACAGGAAGCTCTGTCCCCATGAGGAACTTACTTTACCAATGCAGATTGTGCCTTAGATATCCCTGGGCTAGAGTATGAGAGGTTAAGGGACTTGCCCAGGCCAAGATGTGCCAGAGAGAGGGCTTGAATTCAAGTCTTGCTGTCTCAAAGGTCAGCTCTCTATCCACTATGCCATGGTGGCACCTCATGTAGTGCCTAGTATGTGCCAAGATGAATGGGTGTTCAGACAGAACTAGCACCTCTGGTGTGAGGGCTGCCACACCCTTTTCAGAATGCTCATCCACCTTTGGTGTCCGCTT